AATACAGGTAACCCCCGTATAACACGGTAGTTACGTTCCAAAAAATTGCCGTGTTATGCGAATCCGTGTTATACGAAACAAAGAACTAATACGAAAAGGAGGGTTAGGTTCCAAAAATTAAAAATATGCTATTATATTTTCATAATTAAGATAAATTTCTTTATTAAAATTTTCTTAAGTGATACATATGAATATAAATTAAACAATGTTTTCTTCGTCATCACTAAAAGCACTATTAACCGAGAGCGTTTTCTTTTTGGCAAGTTATCCTTACCCTCTGAGCATTTTTCTGCATTATCTTCAGATCTATGCTTTACCTTCTGCAAAAAGTATGTAATTTTAGATTGCTTGCTTCTAGTTAAAAAGATCTTTATAAATTTCCTTATATGGTGCTAAACACTTGTGAAGAATAAAGCAAGTATGGAATAAGGGAAAAACATTCGGCAACATCAGAAGCAGAAGCGTCGCGATCTGGCAACATTGAAACAAGTTTCGAGAAGGACCACGTGTATCGACAGAAGGCGAGAAAAGAAAATTTACATACTTAAGTACTAATAGTTCACGAAATTATTACTTAAGTATGTAAAAATTTATTACATTTCATGTTGTACGAGGGTTTTACCCAATTCTCGAACCGTGTCAGAGTGAATCCGTGCTGTAGAAGTGCCGTGTTATACGGGGGTTACCTGTACACCTCGAGTTTTGCTTAGTAAAATGCGTACGAAAATACGGTATTATAGCACCACCTGTATTGGACGACCACCTGTCTAAAACACCAGTTTTTGAAGGAACCGTGGGTGATCGCCATAGACAGGTTTTACTGTATATGTATATATTGACGAATGACGTGCGCTTTCACTACTTGTAATTTTTCATTCATAAAACCACATAATGGACACTAAAACGGCGGAACAATCTGAGCCATCGAGCACGCCACGTTGCCTCCTACTATTATACAAACACCCGTTGTTGCGTCCGACAGCGCGCTTTCCGCCAGAATGTAGAAAGGGGTTCAGAGTTAACCTTTATTGATAACACGTGACTACTTCTTGGCGGGACACTTTGACGAACTTTGCTCGAGTTACGCTTCCCTTAAAGCTGCTACACTCGCGTTCGAGTAAATTATAAGATTCTACTGTTTTTTTAGGACTTTGAACGTGCTAAGCGAAATCAGTTTTTCATTCCGACTTTATTCGACTCGAAGCAGTAGGAAGAAATTTCCATAAACTTGGAAATTTCTTCCTACTGCTTCGTTTTGTTTTTGGGCTCGCGATTTCTAAAAATGATTTGTTTTTGGGCTCGCGTTTCTAAAAATGAATAACCAAACCTTTTTAGATTTCCAGCACAAAACTTTTATCAAACAAACGTTTTCGTTACATTTAAGCATTAAGAATCCAGCCAAATATCTAGAAATGTTATGTTATTCGTTCTTTAAATACATCCTGGTTGGAAATTTTCTGTCGACTACGTTACTTCCGATTTCTTTCAACATGGAACCATTTTTGTATACTATTTGGTGTTAAAAGCTACAGATATTTTCGTTATAAGTAATAGATATGTATATATCTATGGTGCGGTTTACTTTATATTACTTTTAAAAAATCAATTTTTCAAAAATTATTTCCTCAAAATTGATGAAAAACTTTATGGGTTAATTGTACATAAATAACCCCCGTTTTTTTGCCTGGACCGCATTTAATCAGATACAAAGCTTTTATTCGTATTCTTTATTTATTTTCTATGCATTTCGGGTGCAATATTTTCTTGTAATTTGCACCCCTCTTCAGGTTTTTTACATTTTCTATAAATTTGGTAAATTTAATT